GACGTGGCGCCCTCGGAGGGCCGGTATGGGATTAAAGCTCAGCGACACTAAGGGCTTGTGTGGTGCCTTCGGTTATCGGTAGCACCCTCAGAATCACCGGCGTAGGGCCCTCAGAGCCGCTGGTAAGGGGCCTTTAGAGGCACCGGTGTGGGGCCGCCATGCAGGTGCCGGTGTGGGCGCTCAGAGGTGCAAGTGTGATTCTCTCAGAGGCGCCGATGAGGGTCCTTACAGGCGTTGCTGCGGACTCTAATAGACGCTGGTGTGGAGCCGTTACAGACGGGTGTGGGGCCTTTAGAGCTGCTGACGCGAACTCTCTACAAGCCGGCATGGGGTCTCAGTGACCGGCAAGGGGTCCTTAGGCCGGCAGAAGAAGTCCTGTGGGGTCCTTAGAGACCGGCATGGTACTGTCAGACGCCGGTGGGGCCCTCAGAGTCACCGGTGTGGGCCCTCAAAAGTCACCAGTGGGTGGCCTTTAGATGCGCAGGTGTTGGTTGGGTCCTCAGAGCCGCCGACATAGGGCTTTAATAGGCACTGGTGTAGGCACTCAGAGTTGGGGTGTGTGAAATCCCCAGTCAGAGACACCGGTGTGGGCCCTCATAGGCGCCGACGAGGGTCCCACAGTTGCCGTTATGGGGCCCTCAGAAAAATAAGTGTGGGACCATCACAGGCGGGAAATGCCCCTAGAACTGGCCCCTCATAGGCCGGTAAGATCCCTCAGAGGGCAGTGATTGGCCTTTGGAGACCACCGAGGTGCCCTCAAAAGCCGCAAGAGGCCCTCAGAAGCCGGCGTGGGGCCCTTATGGAGATCTTAGTGTGGCTATTTAGGGCCCAAGAGGTGCTCTAACGAGCCCCATGGGGCCATTCTGAGTACAAATATGGCCATCGTTAACCCTCAGCGGTCAAATGGCGCTGCAGAGTGCAGGGGCCCTCGGACCCGAGGGTCCCTTTTATCCCGATGGGGGGGGGGGGGGGGTACGTGTCCCCTTAGACCCCTAGCTACTCCACTGTTTCATATGCATCATGTCAGGCATTTTAGGCTCGCCCCCCCCCCAACTTGAAAATCGTTCCCGGGCCCCTGCGGAGCGGTCCTTTTCCGGGCTATGTTTTACATGTCTGGCCGCAAATCGAGACATCTTGATTGGGGCCTAGAGTTTTGCGTTTAGGATCGTAAAAATTTCAGGGTATAGACTTTTGCAGGTGATCTACCTGATGGTACCGGTCGCTACTCGCAACAAAAATCATTGCGCGTGCCACGTGCAATTGCATTTTCCCCATGTTAAGTCAATGGGGTTTTAGACACTTTTTGCGCGATCGCCAATAGCGGGTACCATGCAGTAAGGGCGCTGCCGATCGATGCCCTGAATTGCCTATGATTTATGAATTGGATGAATATAGATGGCAATTAATTAGGTACCTTCTATTATTCATCCCTTGCCACTTGGAGGACTTACTTTCAGTATATAAAAATACGCATTATTTGTTTGTTTATTTATTGACAAATATTTTTTGAGCAGTTAGGGATACAGACACAAAACACAATGGTAGCACCTCGCTGGTGCAAATCATTGCTAGATAGATGTTGAAGTGTGTTGTCATTGAAGAATCTACTGATTTTCCTGGCGGCTCTCGTTTTCAACTAGCTACTGGTCTTGTAAGATCTCTTGATAGCTCACTGTCTGGCGTCTAGTTCCAAGGTTTTCTGAAAGCTAATCAAACGTTACCATGGCTGCTCTTGATGGCATGGCGCTTGCTGGTTCTGGGTTCTTAATTGGTGAATGGTGGTTCTTGCGTCTGATCCTGTTGCTTGATGTTCCATCACATCAGATTAAATTTCTAATGAAACCGACACTTCTACCTTTCATTTCACTATCAGTCGACTTGCATTTACCCCTGTGGCCTGCTGGCCCTTTTATTTCCACGATAGAATCTAGGTACCAATTATTGAAAAAGCCTCGGATAAAAAAGCAAGAAAAGTATGTCAAGTTAAATAATTGCGACGGTCCTAGAAAACCAGAAAAAAATATCAAAAAGCCTGTCCATCTCACACTTCCCTCACTTCATAACATTACAAAAACCACGCAGCAAAACATGCGAAAGAGTCCTTAGCAACGCCTTAGCAACGCATTTGTCTGAAGTGCGCAATATGTGTCACATCTGGAAAATTTAGTAGCTACTTGATTATTCAACTAGAGTTAGACTATAAAAGCTAGGCTTTTATATAAAAAATAAGTGTTTACTGTTTGCTTATCGAATTTATAGCAACTGGTTGCTTTACTTCGAAATAATGATTTATTACAGAAAAAGCTTGTTTGCGACATATTTGTAAAGAAACAACGGAAATAGCTTTGACTCGTACGCTGTTCTAGTACATTTTGGGTAGAAAACTTCGTCCAACCTTATGTTTTAGGGCCTTGGTCTGGACTTCTTATTTTGCCAAGTGCGCCATACTGCGCCATACTCCTTTCTCCTAAGCCGATTAGTAGCAAGGCCATATCAGTAGTGGCTGAGCTCTTCGGTATTTTACTGATCCTGATCAGTACCGGCTATGCCCATGGAAACGGCGCCAGTCGTCCGGATCGATAGCGGCTCCACTGATCCGGATGGCGGATACGAATCCCTTGCCCATGGAAACGTAGTCACTCATAAGTCATAAACAAGTCCTATACGCAGTCCGAGAATGTTGCTGTGCTCGTAACAAAGCATCCGAAACTCCTTCTTATCACTTGTGTGCACCACCCAATACAAAATTAAACAAAGACACGAAAAATAACCAATTATACGTGTTAAATACATGGATATTCGGTAATAATTAAATGGTAAATCTAGTGTTCTTGTGAGTGTGTGGAGTGCGTGTAGGTAGTTTTGTATTTGTAACTGTGTAGCCCAAGGCCATATATAATGTAGCCTGTGTAGTGTGTAGGTACTAGTGATGTCAATTTCAGAAATTTTGGAAACCAATACCAAACCGATACCGACCGAACCCACTGAGAGTATACCAAAACCGAACCGATTTTCAGAAATAGGGGGGAAATACCGACTAGATACCGAAATCAGCGAATTATCAGACATGTGCTTCAAACTTTCTCAAGACATATGATTAGCCTTGAAAGGTATCTAATACTTTAAAATAAGGGAACAAAAACAAATCAGGCAACCTCTTAACTATTTGCACTGCAAAAAAATATTCATAACTGTATTTTGTAACTATTAATATTCAGGTCAGTTATTTAACTGGAATGTGGATTCAAGTCATCTGCATAAGGTGTTAGAACAATAACTTGTCCATGCCTGAACCAACAAACGTTCTTTCAATTCCAGTCATTCATTTCGAGTCCGGTCAAGACAGGGTTAAGTGTGTTATCATGATCCAAAAGTGGTGACCCCATTGACAATGATGGGCTACACCTTGGGCTACACCATTAATGTAAACAAAGCCCATGATACCTACAGTTCAACCCTAGTAGCATGGTGATTGGTGACGATACTGACGCAGCCAATTTTTCTTCATAAACAAATGTTTAACACAACAAAACTTGATAAATGATTACTTACGAGGCACACTGATAGATAGCAGACACCACTGTAATGATATCGCGATGAAATCTAAGTAAAATGTCCATAATTTTACGGAAGCATTGACACACGTCACGTGTCATCTCTTCCATAATGGCGGCCTTAGAGGCGGCGGCCATTTGCATTAAGCTGTATAAAATAAAGTTTTTCTTTTCTTTTCCTTAAGTCCACTTAAATCAAAATTCCTTGTATAAATTTTGACATCTTAAAATTAATTCAAAAAAGCTTGTAGGCCGTTTTTGCTGAAAAATGAAGTACCAGAAAAACAAAGTTGTTCAATTATTTTCAATTAGCTATTGAGCTACATCGGTACTTGGCGCAGCTGCGACATTGAAATGTTTTTAGATGTGTTCAGTTTTGAAACTGCTGTGTGCGAATCAAGCCAAAAACCAATTATATTTTATTAATGCTTATGATAACATTGCTAGCGATCTGTATCTGTTGAGGTGAGCAGGAAAGAGAACACTAATTGAAGAAAATAAATTATCCACAGGATCATGACAGGATCGCTCACTACAGAGGCTTTTGAAGTTGAGCGAAGTTGAAGATTTGTGGGATGATGATGAAGTGACAAATGCTGCCTTCAATATTAGATGATAATGGTGAATCTAGTGCTGTATTAAACAGGGTTTTGGATAATGTAATTGCATTGCAGTGAAATGGAGAGCAAGACAAGGTCAAGATCAATCACAGACTCCTCAAAACAAAGTCAAATTTGTTGCTAATAAATGCTTTGGAAATTTTGAGAAAGGCAGTTAAAGTATGTTTTCCAGCATACAGTGAGTAAAACATTAATTCATGTTCATGTCTTGCACATTGGCTTTCTTTGTAAGATAATTATCCTCATGGTATTGGAATTTGCTAACACTGATAACTGATAAGTTGCCATTTAACATTGGTGGTCTGATGTATTTGATATTGCAGCTCATGTGTTTGCCCATTTGTTAGGACATCATGCATTTGGGAGAAATGTGTCATGATTGCCATTTTTTCTTCATCCAGTGTCATTTAGCAAATCAATTTTGAGTTCAGAAGGTTTATCAAAAATGCTTTCAAATCTTTTATGGCAGTAGTTGATTTTCATGATACCGACAAAATACCAAATGCTTTTGGTATATCATACCGAATACCGAATCGGTTTTGGTTCGGTATCGGCATACCGAAATTTTGGTAACCGATTGACACCACTAGTAGGTACCTATAGGTGCGTGCGACGTGGATGTGTGGGAGTGTTTTTGTCTGCGCTGTGTACTGCTGTCCACTAAATATCCGTTTCTCAGCTTCATTGCCACATTACTATTCATGACAACATTGTTGGAACTTGTTTTTTTTTTCGTAAGGTCTAATGTGACATTTCAGAGCCGTATGCAACCCGATGCACCGTCATGCATCGGGTGCCCCGGTGACACTGCTGCGCTTGTTTTCAGAGCACGCTTCGCGCCTGCGCGCCGGTGCTATCGGGCCTGGTGGCCGAGTGTGCTGGCGGCGCCCGGCCGGCGGCGGCTCGCGCTCAGCTGGCGGCCGCTCTGCTCGGCCTCGTCAGGCCGGCCACGGCCGGCGCACTGGCCGACGCGGCCGTCTGGGCGCCGTGGGCAGCCGCGCTCTCCGATGCCTCCGACTTGCTGCAGGCGCCGGCTCTCCGACAGGTGCGGCACCCCCTACTATTCCGTTCTGTATTCGGCCTGCAACGTGGCGTGTACAGTGACGTGTTATTGGGATGACCACTTACGTAGCTATTAACCAATCTGCCCTGTGATTGGTTCAGGCTGCTAGTTAACCCGCGCCCCAGTGGCGGTCTCAGCCAACTTCGCCCTAGTGGGGGGGGGGGGGGGAGGGCATATGTTACCATACCACCCACCTCTAACTAAAAAACTAAGAGGGCTAGAAAGACGCGGTAGAAAGCAGTCGATAGCTCTTAATGCGTACGTTTGAAAGTATTTCGGTCATTTTTCATCTTAGAGCAATATTGGGGTTACTGGAGGTCATCAAAGGTCAAAATTTGCCAAATGTCATCATATTTTTCAGAAAACATGCATTTATCTCAGGAACTATGATAGCTAGAAAAACGTATGAAAACTCAATCGATAGCTTGTGAACTTTTCTTTTGACAAGGTCATCATCAAAATTGACCTCAGGTCAACGTTTAGCCTCCAAAGGGCAAAAACTCCAAAAATAGCTGTTTTTACGAAAAGTGCTTTTCGACAATAACTTTTCACTAAAAAAGACACGACATTTCTATTGCCAGAATCGTGTTCCTCTTGCCGAGACGCGTCGAATGAACTATAATTTGACCTTGAAAGGTCAACTTGAAAATTTGACCTCCGGTCAAGGACCTGACCGGAACAGGTCATGTCGCAATCAGTCGATGCGTCTCAACAAGACGAACACAATGAGCCTAGTACATATGTTGCTATTAGAGGTCACTGACAATACCAGGTCAGGTCAAAGGTCAGGTCACCAAGGGTCACAGGTCAGGTCACATCAGCCCAACTTTAGGTACCTATACTAAGGTTGTGCGATGCATGTTTTATGGCCAATTTTTCATTTCCAACTCAATGGTGTTGGTTATAAGACTATCAGGTACGGCTTAGGTCACTTTCTGATGAAGGTCAGGTCAAGATCAGGTAAAAAAGGTCAAATTTTGAAGTTGGTAGTTTTGCATAAAATGGGTATTGATTCGATGCAGCTCGTCACGGGGAGTCTAATGGTGGTCTTTGTTTTGCGCTGCGGGGTCTAGAATTGCTAAAAATTGAGTTTGAAAATTTGACGTCATTAATTTTGAACAGTTTTTCCGCTATAGCTTCGCCAAAAAAAGAGGTATCAATCTCAGATTTGGTATGTGGATAGAAGGCGGTAAGGACTAGCACATATATTCCGGTTTTTGCGAAATTCAAAAAGATTTTGGATTTTTCGGCTTATATATATTTATAAAATCTATTTTTAATTTTTGGGGTCAAAATCCAAAAATTTCAAAAATCCGAGATAGCAGTTTTGTAGCCCGATAAATTCTACTGCTTTTATGTTCTAATCATTTTGCTGTATTTGCAAAGCTATAGGCCTGACAGCTCTTCCCGCGAAACCCTTTTTTGGGTCGAAAACGGCAGAACATGACGTCACTCTGACGTCATTATTTCCGGCCAACCTATCATAGCCTTTGGAAAAATTTTTGGTCACAATGTGTAAAATTGATGTCCGAGAGGGTACTGAAAGTTTGGTGACGATCGGAGCAACGGTTCTGGGGATATATTGAAAAGTCTGGAGGGGGCAAAAAATAGCCCCCCCCCCCCCACCAGGGCGCGGCCTTGTCATGATCAACCATACCAAGTTTCAGCTTCGCAGTGGGTCTAGAACATGGTTAGATAATAAAAAGTTCGGACCTCTTAAAATTTGACCATTTCAATTACTCCAATAAAATGGAGCCCAGTTCGGTATTTAGTGGTAATTTATCTCTCAGTGTTGGTTATGTTGGAAGGCCCATCAATTATCTTTCATTTGTGCATACAAAATTATTACATTATTCGTAAAATATCACTGGAGATCACCCTAAAACATTTTTTGAGAAGCATGGCAGTCACCCAGCATGGCAAAGTCACCCCCGTTTACGGTATCTCTAAACTTCGAAAACGGTGACCTAAGGTAAGATCAATTTTGCGACCTATTATAAGTAAATGGAACATTTTTTTCCGAATGCTTGAGGCAAGGTATTAGTATCACTGATGTGAGTTGTCGGACTTTCGTCCCTGTCTTGAGTTGAAATGTTAGTTTCACAACGTTTCGGCCAGTCACTTCTCCGCCTACAGTGGGAGCTGCCACTCAGCTCAGCATTACCCAGGGTTGAAATTGATCGTGGGGGAAATTGATCATTGATTGAACCTAACCTATTGATTGCTCAGATATATTGATTTTGAAGAAATGACACCTGATATTGGATGGATGAGATTCAATTCGCTCGGTAGGAAGGCTAGTTATGTTTTTGTGATTAAAGTGCTTTTTAGAGTAACTAAAGCAGCTTAACTTTTTCCATCGTTTATGATTTTATTTTGTGGCTCATTTAGCGACCCGATACCTGATAAGCATCCAGCCAATTAATTATCCGTTAAAGGTTGCATATACCCGATAACCTGACTGGTCACTGGTCGTAACCATCTATTCCCAATTTCCCTGAAAGGCGCAATGCCCTATGTGTGACCCGATTACTGACCCGCCTCCGGAGAGAGCTGATAGCAGACCGGCGCCAACCGCTGTGCAGCGAGCCGTCTCCCGCAACGGAAAACCCCGTTACAGCTGCCCTAAAATTGTCAAGTCATCTGGGAAGGGCGGCACAGACGGCGATAGAGCATTATGCGGAGGGGGCGCATTGAGGGCGACACAGACGGCGATAGAGCATTATGCGGAGGGGGCGCATTGAGGGCGACACAGACGGCGATAGAGCATTATGCGGAGGGGGCGCATTGAGGGCGGCACAGACGGCGATAGAGCATTATGTGGAGGGTGGGGGGCACATTGAGGGCGGCGGGGTTCTGTGAGCGGCGGCACATAGAGAGCTCCGAGAAACTGGAGTGGGAGTCGGTGCGGACTGCGGAGCGGCGGAGGGCATCTGAGAGGGGCGACATGTAGACTGTAGAGGGCACCTAGGCATTTAAGTGAGGAACGGCACGTTGAGTTAGTGGACCGAGCATTGCCGTTTCTTTTGCTTCGTTTTGAAGTCCTCAAGCCCCCCCCCCCCAATTGCAGACTTCCTTTACCGGGGGGCGACATTTCAGCATCCCAAAAAATGGGCCGGAATTTCCAGCGTTCCAGCGCGGTGGTTTCGCCCATTGGAGGGCGCCGTTAGATGGCATTTATTCGGTAAGATGTTGTTTGGCTGTTGCCTGGTCTTCCCCAGCTGTTTAGTGTCGGATGGGTGGTCTGGGCTGGAGCCGCTGACGGCGCGGTCTGTCTGCCCACAGGTGACCAAGGCGCTGTGGCCGGCCATGGACGACACCACGCAGGCGCGCCTGCTGGCGCTCCTGCTTGACCTGTGCACAGACGCGCGCCACGCCGAGGAGGCTGCGCGGCTCCAAAAGGTGCTGCGCCGCTCCGGGCGGCTGCTGACGGCACCTCCCCCCGCCTCCCCCGCCTCCCCCGCCGCTCCGAGCGGCAGCTGGCGGCACCTCCCCGCCCGTCCCCCCCCCCCCCCCGCCTCCCCCGCCGCTCTGTTTTACAATTGTGTTAACTGTTAACACACTGTAGTGTTTTTGAAGAGGTGTCTCAATGTTGTTGCAGTCAACCCGTCCTTCAGATCCATCCTCAGGATGCCAAATCCTCCTCCACGCCGCAACCCCCCCCCCCCCCCCCCCTCCGGGCTGGACAGGCAACTTTATCTCATGCGGGCTGCTCCCTTGGAGCGGCACCGCTGCTCCCGAGGGAGCGCACCCCGTAGCCGGGTGCAGTGAGTACCTTGAGGCTGGTCGGCCTGTCCATTTGGACGGGCTCAGCCCCGGCGACTCACTAGGGTGCCTGCCCAGACCAATGTCTCCCCCTACATATTATCATCCTCCCGGCTCTGAAATGTCTTGTCAGACCGAAAGGGTCTAACCCAACAAAACAAACAAGCAAAATGTTGTTGCAGCCAGTTGTGTGCAGTGTGCACCGCTGCCGACTGCGTGCAGTGTCAGTGATGAGTGTGTGCGTCTGTGACCGGCACAGGTACTGCGTCGCGCTCCGCTGCCGACCGAGCTGTGGGTGGAGCAGCTGGGCGTGCAGCCGCCGCCGGCCGCCAGCCACACGGTCCGCCGCACCAGCCGCGCCAGGTCAGCTCTCAGCGGACGGCGCCACAGTGGCACCCGCCGCGCCACCCCTGCAGTTGGGGAGGGCTTTGGATCACAGCTGAACTAGGGTAGCCTTCTCCTCGGCCGGTTCGTACCCAGGAGCTGGCAGCATGTGAGGAGTGTGTGCTCGGTCGTGGGGACACGGCTCTGATCGGCCTTTTCCTTCGGTCCGATGTGAAAGCTCTTGGAGCCCGGTCCCGGAGTGGCCGGGCGGGCGCCGGCTGAACGGCCGTCTGTGTGTCACAGCTGATTGGCCACCAGCTAAGCCTCACCTTTTTGGCCGTGGGAGCCGCGCCGCGGCGGCCGCAGACACTTGAATAGGGCCCTGGCCGGCGAATCGCTACAGCCGCGGCACGCGCACGTGCCAGCTTGTTTTATGGCACGCTCCAAGCGGGTGTAGCTTCCAGCTGTTAGCGCCTTTGGTTTCCATGACAATATCAAGATGCTGAGGTGTTTACTGTGCAGTAGAGTTATTAAAAAAAAACAATTTTGGAAAAGTATGCGGGCTCATGGCTCATGTGGTGCGGTATTCTTTTCTGAGTCCGATGATGCCGTTTTTTTCCGAAAAGTATTACCTGTTAGGTGCTCCTCAAGTGGCTTTAACTCGCGCCCCGCTGCTGGGGGATGGGGTGTTTGAACACCGCCGCCCGCCCCATTCTTCCCCATCCTGGATGGCGCCGTTGCCGTGCGCTCTCGGTCCGGCTGAGAGCGGTCGGCCCGGGGCCGGCTGAGGGGTGTGTGTCTGTGTGCCGACAGGAGTGCGCCGGCCGCCGACCCGACTCTGGCTGCCGACGAGGCGGACGTGACGGGCCGCGTCTGGCGCCGGCGGCGCCTGCTGCTGGAGGCCCTGGCGGCGCGCCGCCGGCCCGGCGACGAGGCGCTGCTGGTGGGCGCGCTGCTGGCGCTGCTGCGTCGTCTGCTCTGTGTGGCCGACCAGCCGGGCGCCGAGTACCTGACACAGCTGGGCCTCAGCTGTGTGCAGCAGGCCTGCGGGCACCTGCTGCGGCAGGGCCGGCCGCCGGCCCGCCTGGCGGCCACCTTCAGCGTCGACACGCTGGTGCAGTGTGTGCGCCGCTCGCCGAGCCCCCACACTCAGCAGCTGGCGCTCACTGTTCTCGGCCAGGCCGCCCGCATCGTCCCCGTACGTACACGTCGCACACCCAACAACATTGCACGCCGCAGCACCCAGAATCTTCCTATGAGCTATAAGTATATATACAACTCAATTTCCATTCATTAAGAATATCAACCAACTTCTTATACTTCCCTAATATAATTCTCAAGTCCAAAAGAGGTATCAAATCAACCTTCTTCAGATTTCTTTTGGGCTTTTGCCACATTTTGCATTGTGCCATGTGATATGACAGACTTAACAGAAGAGACGAATGAACTTGCAATATTGAATTAACATTTTCCTGTAACAAGTTTGTATAACGTCATTATCATTTAACCAGTGAAAAATCTCCATTCGACCAATACCTTAATTATTCCAGGAGATTTTTCATTTACAGTCAATTTGGCTTATGACGTAAGATATTGTCATTCTTTGGTAAAGTAATTGAAATCAAGACGCGGCTTAGGGCCATGATGGGGCCATGTCAAACCATTTGAGCTTACTGAGTACGTCAGTAAAATCAACGCTACTACGATGCCTTTCATTTTTGATATTTCATTTTTGACATGACATTTTTGTATCAACAGTTCGATTTTTTACATTTTAATTACACCTAAAAGAATATACACTTAAAATGCTAAAAGCAAAAAGCTCGTAGTGAAGTAATCTTGGTTGAAACGACACTCATTGGTGGATTGAAATGACGTCACTAAATGTATTGACAGAATAATCAGAGTTACGGATATTCAAGGCCATAAGATATTGACCTCTTCCTCAGATATCAAGGTCTGATGGAATCTTTTTGTGTACTTTTGTTCATATTTCATCAAACATTTGCTTCAATAGATTGGTTTACCCTTACCTAGCCAAATACCAATGCCGTCCTTAATTGTTTTTCAATGGTTAGCTGGAAAGCTTCATGTGGATTCTCATGTGAATTGTGATGTGGTAATGTTTGTTTATTATTTAAGTACCTATCTGTTATTGCAAACTTACCTGTTGGCATTGACATGTGAATAATCTTCATGTCACAAAATTTGCTCAATTCGTATGTGTAATGTGCATTGTAATGCGTAATCTTCCTGAATTTTATATTCTGTGCAATGTAAATGAAAGCTCCTTACTATTATGAGTTATGACCTTTGTATCATATTTTTTGTTTGTTTGTTTCTAACCATGCTTTGGTATTCACTATTCATACCTTTTTGTGCAGGAAAGCTGAAAGCATTTTGAGCACTGTGATGAGTATGAACTATGATCCCAGTGGATCTCTCGACAAAATTGGGGAGTGGGATCTATGATCTGAGTGGATCTCTCGACAAAACTGATGGGTCAGATCTATGATCTGAGTGGATCACTTGACAAAATTGAGGGGTTGGATCTATGATCTGAGTGGATCCCAGATCTGGATCCATGGGATCGGATCTCAGATCCAATTTCGCGGATCCATGCAATTGCACATGTCTAAAACCTTCGGTGAAAAAGTATGGAGAGAGAGAGAGAGAGAGAGAGAGAGAGAGAGAGAGAGAGAGAGAGAGAGAGAGAGAGAGAGAGAGAGAGAGAGAGAGAGAGAGAGAGTGAGTGAGTGAGTGAGTGAGTGAGTGAGTGAGTGAGTGAGTGAGTGAGTGAGTGAGTGAGTGAGTGAGTGAGTGAGTGAGTGAGTGAGTGAGTGAGTGAGTGAGTGAGTGAGTGAGTGAGTGAGTGAGTGAGTGAGTGAGTGAGTGAGTGAGTGAGTGAGTGAGTGAGTGAGTGAGTGAGTGAGTGAGTGAGTGAGTGAGTGAGTGAGTGAGTGAGTGAGTGAGTGAGTGAGTGAGTGAGTGAGTGAGTGAGTGAGTGAGTGAGTGAGTGAGTGAGTGAGTGAGTGAGTGAGTGAGTGAGTGAGTGAGTGAGTGAGTGAGTGAGTGAGTGAGTGAGTGAGTGAGTGAGTGAGTGAGTGAGTGAGTGAGTGAGTGAGTGAGTGAGTGAGTGAGTGAGTGAGTGAGTGAGTGAGTGAGTGAGTGAGTGAGTGAGTGAGTGAGTGAGTGAGTGAGTGAGTGAGTGAGTGAGTGAGTGAGTGAGTGAGTGAGTGAGTGAGTGAGTGAGTGAGTGAGTGAGTGAGTGAGTGAGTGAGTGAGTGAGTGAGTGAGTGAGTGAGTGAGTGAGTGAGTGAGTGAGTGAGTGAGTGAGTGAGTGAGTGAGTGAGTGAGTGAGTGAGTGAGTGAGTGAGTGAGTGAGTGAGTGAGTGAGTGAGTGAGTGAGTGAGTGAGTGAGTGAGTGAGTGAGTGAGTGAGTGAGTGAGTGAGTGAGTGAGTGAGTGAGTGAGTGAGTGAGTGAGTGAGTGAGTGAGTGAGTGAGTGAGTGAGTGAGTGAGTGAGTGAGTGAGTGAGTGAGTGAGTGAGTGAGTGAGTGAGTGAGTGAGTGAGTGAGTGAGTGAGTGAGTGAGTGAGTGAGTGAGTGAGTGAGTGAGTGAGTGAGTGAGTGAGTGAGTGAGTGAGTGAGTGAGTGAGTGAGTGAGTGAGTGAGTGAGTGAGTGAGTGAGTGAGTGAGTGAGTGAGTGAGTGAGTGAGTGAGTGAGTGAGTGAGTGAGTGAGTGAGTGAGTGAGTGAGTGAGTGAGTGAGTGAGTGAGTGAGTGAGTGAGTGAGTGAGTGAGTGAGTGAGTGAGTGAGTGAGTGAGTGATTGAGTGATTGAGTGATTGAGTGATTGAGTGATTGAGTGATTGAGTGATTGAGTGATTGAGTGATTGAGTGAGAGAGAGAGAGAGGCGTTATTCTCGTATGGTTTCGTCCTTCAAAAATGTCAAACTAATGTTTTGTATCATCATCATGTGTTACACATCCTTGTCAATAATTTGTCATGATTCAGCTCCGAGCTTTCAGCTTTCATAATCATTTCCATTGCTCCTGAAACAGAAAATTTCACAACCGACCCGATTCTGTGAAACAATTTCACTGCTTCAGGACGGGTGTTACCAATCCTCATAAAAAAAATTGATGTTGAGTTCCTTGTTGATTCAAAGTTATTGACGAAAAAGCAAAGCTGGTACGTGTCAACGAACTTTTGAGACACCCTGTATATATCACTAATATAAAAGTTATATTATGAAAAAAACAACACCTAAGAAAAGTTATATTAATTGTAAAAAAACAACACCTAAGAAAAGTTATATTAATTGTAGCTTTTTCTAGAACGATATTATGCAAAACACGCAAACTAGCAAAAAAAAAAAAACGCATTGTGTTGCCAGGCCTTTACTGTGACATATTTATAATCAATTTGGTCGACGTATGGACTGCAAGTGTCATTTCTCAGGACTTGTCAGGCGCGTCAGGCTTGACCGGGTACACTTGGGTGAGCTGTTGTGTGGTCGGCTTCTTAAAGCGAACTACCTACAAAGACGTGAGCACGTTTTCTAGCACTATGATATCAAGAATGTCCTAGGCAGCCCGTTGAATAGGAATTATTACGTTAAAAAACGCATTTTTGAAAAAGTTCATGGAACAATTTCGGATAGAAATTATATTCTTGAACTCGGCTCACCGTCAGCTTTCAATGGTATATTTTGTTTCTTTTGTGGATGGAATTACTTTCCGACGAACCGTGAGCTGTGCTCAACACCAGCGTCCCGCAGCACCAGCTGTCGTCCTCAGCGCCAGCCTCCCCCAGCACCAGCGGTGCTCAGCGCCAGCCTCCCCCAGCACCAGCGGTGCTCAGCAGCCACTGGGTCGCCCGCAGGAGACGGTGCTGCACAACACGATGGCCGTGTTCACGTTCATGGGCTCGTCGATGCTGCGCCAGGACACAGAGTACAGTTTCGACGTCATCCAGCGAACGGTGGAGAACGTGGTGCCGGCTCTGGTGCAGGTGGGTACCGGTCCCCCCCCCGGCCCCCCGGCTGGACACGCCGCGTGTCGTCTGCCTGTGCCACCCCCCCCCCCCCCCCTGGGATGCCGGTCGGTCGTGTGTACCGTGACTGTCACAGACCGTCCAGTGGACGCGTGTGTATAGTCTGTCTTAAAAGTACCGCGCAAAGTGACGGTGGATCCATCAAGCTTGACCGAGGAAAGGCCTGCTAAATTTGAGTCACAGAAGCAATTGACATCCTCGTCCATTCCCCAGGTCAATTGGTTCGGTGACTTTCGAATTATAGCAGGCCCTTCCTCGGTCAGGCTTGATGGATCCACCGTCACTTTGCGCGGTACTTTTAAGACAGAGTGTACTGTGTAGGTATGTGTATGTGTGGGGGGACGGGTGGTGGTGGTGTGTGTGTGTGCGCGTGCGTATGCGCGCGTGCCCGTGCGTGTGCGTGACAGCCGGTGTGGGCTTGGCGGTGCCGCCAGGCGTCGGAGCTGGTAGGGACGGCCGCCGAGCCGCTGGCGGCCGTGCTGCGTGTGTTCGTGGACGCTCTGCCAGACGTGCCGCGCCACCGGCGGCTGCCGCTCTTCGCGCACCTGCTGCGCACCGCCGGCGAGCGGCGCCACCTGGGCCTGTGTCTGGCCATGATCTCCGACCAGCTGGCCACGCGCGGCGACCTCGGCGACCAGCTGGCCGAGCACACAGGTGGGTGGGCCGCCGCGCTCCTAGCCGTCGGCCAGCCAGACGCCGCTGCTTGTCACACTGGCACAACTGCCCCAGTCGATTGACGCTCTTGTGCGTGTGCGCGCGCGCACGTCATTTTCGAAAGTTATTAGGAGGGATCTAATGGTTGATTTGAGTACCTATACCGAAGCCATTCTTACCTGGCTTTGAAGTAAGAATAGCTTGAAAGCTAGGAATGGCCGATGCCTTCTTGCCATGCAGCGCCATAAGGATAATGCCCAGTCAGGCCCTACCAAGCCTGTACAAAACGACACCCATGCGTACGTGTGTGTATGCCGCATGCGAGGTTCTCGGGAAACGAATCCAATAGGTGTGTCTGCATGTTCAGGACGGTCAGCCGCGGCGCCGTAGAACTCGGCAATGCCTGGCAGCAGCGGCGTTTTCATACCAAAAGTCATACTATACGCTATTTTTGGTTTAAGTCTACATGCTGAATTTGTAAAGAAATATTACAAAGGTGGCTTTCTCTGATTTTTTGAAAGTGGTTTTAAACATATTTTTTTATGTTACAAACACGATATCCAGTGGTGCGGGAACCGGGGGGGGGGGGGCTAGCGGGAGCTGAGCCCCTCCAACTTTTTGGCGGGGGGGGGGCTCGTAATGTATTTGAGCCCCCCCCCCTCTCCCCCCCCCCCAGCTGGAGGAATCGAAATCGGAAATCTACCAACATAATTTCATAGATTCATACATAGGCGCGGGAACCGGGGGAGGGGGCAGTGGGGGAAGCTTGCCCCCACAGCTCTGGGGCCGTGGGGGCGGTGCCCCACAACTTTTCATGAGGTCAGGAACCGTTGGGGCAGCTTGTCCTCCCCAAATTAGGGGTTGTGGGTCACAAAGGAAGAAAGCATGTACACTCGCCTACTAAGTGATGTTCGCCCCCCGACGGCCCAGTGTTTGACTGGAGCGGTAGACTGCGCCGCCTCACACCTAGGTTCAGCGGTACAGTATATCCCTCTGGCCTCACGCTCGTCCCAGACGCGTTGGGCTGGGTCAGGGACGCGCCGCGCTGCGCTGGCCGTCTTACCACTCATTTTATTTTTACAGGTGGGATACGTTGGCGATTGAACCAGCACGGCTCGTCGGAAAGTCATTTCATCCACCAAAGAAACGAAATATACCGTTCGAAAGCTGACGGTGAGCTGATTCCAAAACAGTATTTTATATAGAAATCGTTCGATGGCCTTTTTTCGATTGCCTCAAAAATTGCGTTTTTGTAAAATCGTAATAATTTTTTATTCAACGAGCTGTCCAGGACAATCTTTAAATCATAGTCATGTTGTTTTCGTTTTCCATTGAAAGCTGAATGCCAAAAGAATAATATGTTGCGAAGAAATATTTTCCAATATTAAGATGTGTCTCTCACAGCCGGCAGCAAGGCGCAATCACACAACTCCGTGTCACGACGGATCAAAGTAAGCCGCACAAAGGCGTTAAATGACCATTAATGACGCGCAGACCCGTCGCTCTCAGCTGTCTGACGGGCCACGGAAGAGACGTTCGGCTGCCGCCCTACTAAACAGACGTCATTTTTGTTAGTTTAACAATTCAAGTCGGTGCTTAAGTTGTTCAGGATACCTGAGAGGAAGATTCATTGCTGTCATTTTCACACCATGTATGAATTTGCATTTGTTTTTGTCTACTTTGCTCAACTCAGCTGGGCATTATGCCCATACAAGAAGAGTTGGCCGCGCTGAGCTGTCAGAGGCTGTATGGGCTTCGGCTGAGATGGAGTGGGGGTAGCGCCCGGCGGGGCGGGGTAACCTTCGACCGGTCGCAGGGCCGAAAAGTTGTCACTGGTACAACTTCTGACAGTGAAACCCCGCTAACTGTCCCCGCGCGGGCATTGAGCGCAGCGGGACGGAACAAAACCTGTGTAAGAAAATGTAAGTTAATTAAAGCATGTGGTAGGTAAATCTAGCAGAACAATGAACTTTCTTCACCGGTATCCTGAAAAACTTTGATAGCGATATGGATCGTTAAACAAACAAATATGACACTTGTTTAGTAGGACGAGACTCGAACGTATTCCGTGGCCGGTCAGGCGGGCCTAGCGCCGGGTCGGCGAGTTGATAAGGGTCATTTCACGCTTCTGTGTGGGTGACTTTGATCCATCGTGACGCTCAGCTGTGTGATTGCGCCCTGTTGCCGGCTGTGAGAAGCGCATATTAATATTTGAAGATATTTTATTGCTGCATACTGCTTCTTTGGCATTCAGCTTTCACTGGAAAACGGAAAAATTTGCATATGATTTCAAAAATGTCCTGGACAGCTGGTTGAATAAAGAATTATTACGTTTTTACAAAAACGCAATTTTTGAAAAAGGCCATCGAACGATTTCGATAAAAAAATACATTTATGGAATCAGCCCACAGTCAGCTTTCGAATGGTATATGTCGTTTCTTTTGTGGATGATCTGACTTTCCGACGAACCGTGCCAGAGCGATGCCATGCTGTTCATCTCATCCGGACAGGCTACAAAATTGCCAGTGCAGCTTCAAAACACGGCATCCTTCTTCCTTGCCCTCAGAATCTCTGAACATCTGAACCACTCTCATGCTTATTCGAAATTTCCTCCCTCATTTTCCTTCTCCCTTTCGTATAGTATGCCTAATGGGAGGCTCATTATAACTATGTTATAACTATGTTTATTGTAACTATGTTATGAAGATATGGAATACCTTTACGGCTAGACTGGACTGTGATCCATGTCGGCTACAGTGCTATTCGCACTTTGCAGCGCATTCGTGGCAATATTTCACATTAATATTCTCAAAATATTATCTCTATATTCTCAAAAGTCCGAACAAAAACTCAAAAGGCGAACACTACATGTGGCCTCGACACAATGGTCGAAATGTAAGGCCGTTGACGGTCGAGAGAGGGAGAGAGAGAGAGAGAGAGAGAGAGAGAGAGAGAGAGAGAGAGAGAGAGAGAGAGAGAGAGAGAGAGTGAGAGAGTGAGAGTGAGAGAGTGAGAGAGTGAGAGAGTGAGAGAGTGAGAGAGTGAGAGAGTGAGAGAGTGAGAGAGTGAGAGAGTGAGAGAGTGAGAGAGAGAGAGAGAGAGAGAGAGAGAGAGAGAGAGAGAGAGAGAGAGAGAGAGAGAGAGAGAGAGAGAGAGAGAGAGAGTGAGTGAGAGTGTGTAGGTGTGTAGGGGTGTGTGTGTGACGTCCGGTGACTGTTGTCTGTGACGGCCGGCGACTGTGTGTCTGTGTGTCTGTGACGGCCGGCGACTGTGTGTCTGTGTGTCTGTGACGGCCGGCGACTGTGTGTCTGTGTGTCTGTGACGGTGGGCGACTGTGAGTCTGTGTGTCTGTGACGGTGGGCGACTGTGTGTGTGTGTGACGGTGGGCGACTGTCGGCAGTACTGGCTGCGGGTGATCGCGGTGCGCCGCTGCTGGTCGACTTTGCCGTCTCGCTGTGCGGCCAGTTCGCCGTGGACGTCCAGCTGGAGAGCTGCTGCCAGCTAATTAGCCACTCCGAGGCGCTGCTGCTCAGACATCACGGTGAGTGCCACAGCCAGCTAGTGCTGTAACTAGCGCACATGTTCTATTATACCTACCATTCATTCTGGACAAACAGAAAATCGTATAAGATAATGGTTCAATCGTTTTGAAATCAACCATTGATACATTGCACAATGAAATCATTGATCATTGACAAATCATTCAATCATCGACAAAAAGAAAAGGCGAAAAAATAAAAAATCGAAGAAAGGAGCAAAACAGGAGACACGAGCAAGAAAAAAAAAACGAACAGCAAAGCAATGAAGTAAACAGAAGACACGAACGACATGCGAACCAACCTCAAGATGAGGATACTCACTACTAGAAAACGAAAAGCGAACAAAAAACGAAGGTGGATTTCAGTGCCAAACTCGAAGAACATCGACATTATATCAAGGACACTCGAAAAGTCAGACATACAAGTAGCCACTGTGACAGGAAAGAAAATTCAAGAACTAGTAAAAACACAAAGAAAAGTGATGCTAAAAGTGTAGTTAATGAAATACCGTGCAAGGGGTGCCCAAGAACTTACGTTGGAGAAACGGGAAGGGGGGTTGATGTTCGTTTGAAAGAGCATAAAAGCGACGTAAAATTTCATCGTACTTCAAACGTGATAGTGCTCCACATAGAACAATGCAACCACTTACCTGATTGGGAGATTGATTACGGCAATATTAGAAAAGAACATGAAGAAATGAAATCTACGAGAAAGATCCTAAAAGCCGTTTATATTATTACGCGGGATACATTCAATAGTAGAAACGGATTCATTACTTGGTCATCGATGGCAGCGAAATCGGCAGTAGACCACTAAAAGAAGAAACACGTGATTTTTAATTTGAAGAGTTTTAGACGGTTACGGTGAATATTTGTACCCATTTAACCTTTACCTCTGACACAGTGACCAGGGCTGTTGATTCTTGAAGCCGAAAGCGTTATGTGTTTTTGAATATATTTGATTTGTACTAATTGGTTTATCATTTACATCATTATCCAATCTGTCATGGATACTCAACATTTTTCTAGTAATAGCGGTGTTAAGTCCAGTGACGTATCTAGGATTTCTCTCAGGGGGGTCCGCAGTCAAAAGGGCCCTTGACTGACTAGGTTGAAAGGGCCCTTAAGTGGCAAAAGGGCCCTTGTAGCCTGAGTTGAAAGGGCGTTAACCCGCGCCCCGTAGGGGGGAGGGGGCGAAACGGCCCCCTGTCCTCTTCCGTAGCTATCTCCTAAATTACTGCAGATATCGCCACTAAACTTTCAGGAGTCAGGACCTCTCCGGGCATCTGTTTTACACATTATGACGAAATTTTTCGAGAGGCTATGATAGGTTGGCCGCAAATGACGTCAGAATGACGTCATGTTCTGCCATTTTCGACTCAAAAAAGGTTTCGCAGGAAGAGGTGGCAAGCCTACAGAGCTGTACAAACATAAAAATGTTCCGACATAAAAGGTGTAGAATTAACAGGCCTAGGTCAAATATGAGCACAATTTACAGAAAGAGCGTTAAAAGAGCTTTGTTTGTTTTGTTGGGTAGGGCCCAGGCCCCTTTGGTCTGACGAGACCATTTCAGCGCCGGAAGGATGATAGGAAATGAGGGAGACATTGGTCTGGGCGGGCACCTTGGTGAGTCACCGGGGCTGAGCCTGTCCAACAGGACAGACCGACCGCCCCCCCCCCCCCCCCAGTGCTCACTGCACCCGGTTACGAGTGTGCTTCCTTAGGAGCCGTAGTGCGCTCCAATGGGAGCCGCCCGCATGGAATAAAGTTGCCCGTCCAGGTCCAGCCCGGATCAGGGGTTGTGGCATGGAGGAGAAGGATTTGAATGTCCTGAGGATGGAAACGGCGAAACGGGTGTTAAAAGAATTATTAACTACGCTTTCCCCAGCACTAAAGCTCTATTCATTTCCGAGTCATGCGGTGGTTTGTTTAAAATTGTCGAAATTGGACCTGAAAATTGGCGAAATTTGACCATCTTTTGTATAGATCTATACAAAATGTGGATTTTGTTCAAAATTGAGTGACAGACAAATGCAAAGTTTCATATTTGGGAGCAAAATTCAGTGTCTTACCGTATGAATCTCTTCTAAAGAATTCACATGCTTATATGAAAATTAATTCTGCGTTTTTGACATTTTAAATAGACCGCGACTCTCTTTCGTTTTTTAGATATTTTGTGTGAAGTGTGCTGCGGGAACCGTGTAGTCCTGCAGCTCTAATTTACTCTTAAGGCCTGGCTACACTATGCGTTTTCTTCGTGCGTTTTTTGCGTGTTTGCGTGTTTTGCGTGATATCGTTCTAGAAAAAGAACGATATTACGTTTTTGTGACGTTTTTCACCTTAAATTTTAGTTACATAAGAGTTATATTAGCTTTTGTATATAACCAAAGTAAAAATTATATTGTTTATAACTTTTTTCCTAGAACGATATTACGCAAAACACGCAAACCTGCAAAAACGCACGCAGAAAACGCATAGTGTAGCCAGGCCTTTATTGGAATATGTTAGAATTCAGGGCATATACCGTGATAAATTGTAGCTCATGTTATAGGAAAATCTTTTCTGAGCCTGAATATTTATTGACCAATACATGATAATTCACCCAATATTTGTTTTGAAACATTGCCTCTTCTCCACTCATCAAGGGTCACGATCCATGGATATAATCGAAATTCTAGAAATAATTATTTGTAGATATTTTTATGGATTTATTATTGGTTTTAATATTTGGAAAACACAAAAGAAGAGATATGTGTAACAAACGGCTATTACTTGAAATAATTGCTTTGGAAAAATGGTGCGAATGGCTTGATTTTATTTCCTTTATTAACTTACAGATTTTCTTGTCGGCTCCCCTCTGCTAATGCACTTCAAATTAATAAATGCATAATTAATATGACCTAAATATGTCGCCTATTTTTCGTTTTTGGCTCTTAATGGCCAGCTGAAGAAAGTGGTCAAAATACCTTAGTGCTGTGGCGGCAAACCGGTTTTACCTAGTTCTCTATATACCGTGATGACTACGTCGTACCAGGCCCATGTCACTCCACTTTTGATGACATCATATGGGGGCCTCAGGACAATAATGGCGCGGCGCGCCACAATCGCTTCAAAGCTACTTGCTAACAGTTGCCATTTTTGAAAATATTATTTTGAAATAAAGTTCCAAGTAATAAAAATATTGTAATAAAGTTGTTGAATAAATCGATACCATATCTAAAAACTTACTGAAAAATGATTTATTCATAGTAAAAATATAAGCTCAATGCGTTTTTACGTTGCTTTCCTTCAACTGCAGAGGGTTTTTAAATCGTCTATATCTTCAAAACCGGCCATTTCTTAGCATATTGCTGCTCTTTTTTATCGCTAGAAAATTAGTTGGACTTTCCAATGACATCAATGGTTGAGCGATATGTGTAGAGTGTCACCAACAATCTTCAAATGAAGTTAGTCATTTTTACGTTGTAAAGGAATGGAGTACCCCTATCGAGCATCAGGGGTGACGTCACTCAGGATCTGTCTCTGATTGGTCGGCGGGAGAGTGACTGTACGGCTCTCCAGGGTATTAGTCGTTGGTCGCTCGGCGAGCGGGAGGGCAACCAGTTCCGCCCCTGTATCGCGTGACCCCTTGCTCCGCCCAGTTACGCACGAGCGTACTCCACGCCGCGTAGTAGCGTGGGGAGGGGAGGGTTAGAATGGTGGCATGTGTAGAGGCTAGAACCGGTTTCCACCGCCATGCCACCGCCCAGCGACATGGAGCGGGGTCAGTGACCCGGGCGCAGGGAAAGGTCAGAGGTCAGCTATAACGTAGAGCTTTGTGTCTCCCTCCCCTCCGTGTGTAACGACCGCACGACAGCGGCCGGCCGCCGATCAGGCTTGACATGTCAAGGTCACCCGCAGCCAACGGGCTCAGAGGGTTGGTCGAGTGCGAGTCCGTGGCTGACGACAGTCTCGACCATGTGCTATAGTGCCGATACACTAGCGTGGGTAATAAGTTTGAGTTCAGTGCATATGACTGCTGGGGGCGTGTCCTCTTGATATGATGCTTTGTAACGTGTATGATACGCTAAACCTCGCTGGCAGTGGCCGAGAGGAGAGGGGGGCGGGGAGGCGGGTGCCGCCTCCACATGTTTATTTTTGTTAATAGCTGCGAGAGCTGAAATTTGGCAAGCCTGACCTTTGATTTAAGCTGAATTTTTTTATGACAGCAGCTGTATTTTCACCCTCGCCCATATTGGTGTTTTGCCAGCGTCTATCGTAAAGGGGAAGGAGGGTCCGTTGGACCCCTTTGCCGTTCAGCCCCTGATCGAGCTAGAGCTTCGCGGAAAAAGAGCGTGTTGCCCGTGACGAGAGGAGGCCGATGATACCCCATTTTAAGGTCCTAGGTCATTGGTTGACAGGTCAATATAGCACAAAAGTCGGGGAATCGGGACCTGTTAGAGCTTCGTAAAGTGAAGCTGCTATAGGGTTTTGCGGGGTGCTGATCACGAAATTCAAGTTAGTTTTGATCACAGATGATGTTTTGTGCATTTAGGCCAGGTCGGGTCATATCAGGTCAGGTCACATGTTATGAGGGAACCAAAACTACTTCTTAACCCTATTCCTGGCGGGCTCCGCCGGGACAAGAAACTGGCGGGGGGGGGGGGGCGATTCGGCCCCCCCTGAGATCTCGAGAACGAAGCAAGATAGCGACAAGCGGTAAACGGCATCGGATACGCACGGCCAAGATCTACAATTTTTACTAAGGTCATTTTCAGGTCAGGTCAAAGATGACGTCACAGGGGTCGAAAAAGTCAAAATGGCGGCGCTAGATATGGAGAGAGTTTTTCTCGAATAACTTTCGAATTAGTCAAGATTGGAACAAACTAAGGGCATCATCGTGATCCTCTCGTCAATCCGCATCGAATGATATATATGTTGACCTCGAAAGGTCAAGGTCAAAGGTTGACCTCAGGTCACGTGACCTCGAGGTCATCATGTATATCATTCGATGCGTCTTGACG